AGGAACCTGGAGGCAGGAACTGAAGCAGAGGAGAGCTGCTTACTGACTTACTCAGCCTGTTTGTTTTTTTTTTCTTCCTTTTTTATTATTATTTTTAATTTTTTTATTTTTTTGGTTCTTCAAGACAGGGTTTCTCTGTGTAGCCCTAGTTGTGCTGGAACTTTCTTTGTAGACCAGGCTGGCCTTGAACTCACAAAGATCCACTGCCTCTGCCTCCTAAATGCTGGGTTAAAGACATACACCACCGCCGCCTGGCCCAGCCTGCTTTCTTACAGAGCCCAAGACCACCAGCCCAGGAGAGGCCCCACCACAATGGACTGGACCTTCCCACATCAGTCGCTAATTAAGAACATGCCCTACAAGCTTGCCTATGGCCAGTCTTTGGAGGCATTTTCTCAGTTGAGGCTCCCTCCCCTCCAATGACTGAAGCTTGTCGAGTTGACAGAGCACTAGCTAGACAAACAGTATCTGATACTTGTTTCCTTATAAAATCTCAGGATAGAATATGTAACGGTGACTCCTGAAGGATTCCGGTACCGGGGCCAGATCTTCCCGACTGTGAATGGGCTCTTCAGGTGGTTTAAGGATCACTATCAGGATCCTGTTCCAGGTGAGTTCTACTGTACTCTACCGTAGGCTGTGGTGAGAGGGACACGGTCCTAGCTCAGGGAAGTGAAGTCAGTTATCATCTTAGCTGCCTCATGCCTGCTCCAGCTTTTCTGCAGCACAGACGCTCTCCATCTCCTGGCTGTCCTGGAACTCATTTTGTAGGTGAGGCTGGCCTCAAACTCATTGAGATCCACCTGCCTCTGCCTCTCTGAGGGCTGGGATTAAAGCTCTTCTGACTCTTGAGCTGGGAAGCCAGAGTAGCTTTCTGGAGGAATGTAATTGACTGCATCTGTTCCTTACAGGCATCACTCCCAGTAGCAGCAGCAGGACCCGGACCCCTGCTTCCATCAATGCTACCCCAGCCAACATCAATCTTGCAGGTGGGATGCTTGCGGCTGAGACTTGTAGGGCAGTGGGGAACTAGAGGGATTTATATCCTGACATGGCTGTCTGTGTGTTACAGATCTGACACGGGCTGTGAATGCCTTGCCTCAGAACATGACTTCGCAGATGTTCAGTGCCATTGCTGCTGTCACAGGCCAGGGACAGAACCCAAATGCTACCCCAGCCCAGTGGGCATCCAGCCAGTATGGCTATGGTGGCAGCGGAGGAGGCAGCAGCGCCTACCATGTATGTGTTTTCGGGAGAATTCTTCCTGAACTGGGTGAGGAGGAGAGGGGGTGATCATCTTTTACTTCCAGACTCAGATGCTATAGACACCTGGCCATGTCTGCTACCAGGAGCTTCTTATGCTCCGGCCTAGGAACCATCTCTAACAGATGTTCCTTATCTCCAGAATGAAGGGAATAAGAAAGGGCCTGGCCTTTGCACAGGTGGACTATTTGGAACCCTCAAGCCACCTGAGGTGGTCAAGATTAGTGGGCAACTTTGTATGCTGGTGCTATCCTCCTGACTTTTCTTTATTCTCCAGCACACATCCTGCTTCCAGGTGGGTCACCTGGAAGCACTGTTTGGAGCCAGCTCGCATGGCCTGTCAGAGATTGACAAGGAAGCTGAACAAGCCCGCATCAAACCCTTATTTCTCTGTCCACTCCTTTTCAGGTGTTCCCAACGCCAGCCCAGCAGCCAGTGGCCACACCACTAATGACCCCCAGCTACTCCTACACAACTCCAAGCCAGCCCATTACCACCCCACAATACCACCAACTCCAGGCCAACACTACCCCTCAGTCAACCCAGGCCCAGCCCCAGCCTTCCTCCAGCTCCCGACAACGGCAACAGCAGCCAAAGTGAGTACATAGCTAATGGCACAGCACAAGCAGGTTCCTAATAGGAGCAGGTGGTGCCATGTGGGCTGAAGACTTAATATAAGCAGCTGTTGTATATCTTCTTGAAAGCCAAGACCGTTAAGATGCTCCCATGGGGGGCTGGAGAGATGGCTCAGAGGTTAAGAGCATTGCCTGCTCTTCCAAAGGTCCTGAGTTCAATTCCCAGCAACCACATGGTGGCTCACAACCATCTATAATGAGATCTGGTGCCCTCTTCTGGCATGCAGGCAGGCATGGAAGGAATGTTGTATACATAATAAATAAATAAATATTTAAAAAAAAAAAAAGATGCTCCCATGGTACCAGGTAGTAGTGATGCATGACTTTAATTCCAGTACTTGGGAGGTAAAGGCAGGGGATCTCTGTGAGTTGGAGGCCAGCCTGGTCTACAAAGTGAGTTCCAGGACAGCTAGGGCTGTTACACAGAGAAACCCTGTCTCGGTGAGGAAAAAAAAAAAATGTTCCCATGGGCATTGGTTTCTGAGAGAAAAAATGGAAAAGCAACAGAAAGGTTGCTTCCTATAAGAATCAAGTTCTTAAACTGGGTGGTGGCGGTGCACACCTTTAATCCCAGCACTAGGGAGACAGCAGCCGTCCGATATCTGTAAGTTTGAAGCCAGCGTGGTCTACAGCGTGAGTTCCAGGAGAGCCAGGTTCCTTTCTGTGATCTCCTCTGTGACTGATAGGAAGGTGTCCTTTCACACACCCAGAAGAATCCTAGTCTCTTCAGGCCCTTCCTTTCTCTTCCAGGTCCAACAGCCATGCAGCCATCGACTGGGGCAAAATGGCTGAGCAGTGGCTACAGGAGAAGGAGGCAGAACGACGGAAACAGAAACAGCGGCTGACCCCTCGACCCTCTCCCAGTCCCATGATTGAAAGCACCCCTATGTCCATTGCTGGCGATGCGACCCCACTCCTGGACGAGATGGATCGGTAGGGGGCCTGTTCTACAGACTGTGGTTACCTCTGAGGCTTCAAGAGACCTGGCCACCCACAGCCTCACTTCCTGCCCCTCTTTTTTTTTTTTTTTTTTTTGTGTGTGTGTGTGGCATGAAATGACATTCTCTTTAATGTCAGCTGGGATGGGTGGATGCACCAAGGAGCAGTTCTCCCACTCCAGACCTGTGCCAACCACCTGTCCTGGGACCAGGCTATGAGAGAAGAATGTAGCAGGAGGAGGCGAGTGAAATGGAACAGCCGTCATCTCCCTGGAAGCCATTTTGAGGTCTGCCCTCACCTGACACAGGCTGTACATGTGGGGAACCAATGCTATTTATTCAGTTTGAGGCAGGAGGGAGAGGATGGAAAATGTTTTCAGTCTTGATGACAATACTTTGGTGGCATCAAAGTAGGACTTTGGGGGACATGTGGAGCGGTGTTGACCTGCCAGCCCCTGCCTACCTACCCTCATCTACCTATCGCCACCTGCTTCTCACCTGTCATTTGAATAAACAGTGTTTCTACAGAGCACTTGCGAGGCCTCACTGTAGCTCCCTGCTGAGGGGTTGCTTCATATCAGTTTGAAACACCAAAACCTTCCTCTCACAATCCATCAGAGAGACTGGGATTCAGATTGCTTGTGGTCACCTCCCTGCTGAGCCCCATGACCCTGTGTGCTTCTTACATCTTTTGTTACCTATGTTGAGGTGATGTCTCTAGCCCAGGCTGGCCTTGGAGTTACAGCAGTCCTGCTTCTGCCTCCTGAACGCTGGAGTTGCGGGAATGACACGTGTGCGCTTACGACTTTTTGGTTTTTCTTGGGTTTTGGTCTTTTGAGATAGGGTTTCTCTGTTGTAGCCCTGACTGTCGTAGAACTCAGTCTGTAGACTTCAAACTCAGATCCACCTGCCTCTTCCTTCTGAGTGCTGAGATTAAAAGTGTGAACCACAACCCCCAGCTTATTTTTAATTCTGTATGTGCATGTGTGGGTGTGTGCACAGAAAACCAAGAGGGTTATGGATCCCCTGGAGCTGGAGCTGGAGCAGTAGAGCTGTGAGTCACTGTGCATGAGCATTGAGAGCTCAGGCATTTTTCAAGAGCTGAGCCGTCTGCTGGCCTGTCTCTGCTGTTTTACATTAGCTGTCCTATCTATGAAAAGGAGATGGTGACATACTCAGGGCTGAATGAAATGTTGGGCCAGGGCTTGGGCCTGGTGGTTTTTAGCCGCCAGACTACTGTGATGTTCTCATCTCCCACACAGTGTAGAAAAGTAAACCTGAGGGGGCTGGAGAGATGGCTCAGAAGTTAAGAGCATTGCCTGCTTTTCCAAAGGTCCTGAGTTCAATTTCTGGCAACCACATGGTGGCTTACAACCATCTGTAATGAAGTCTGGTGCCCTCTTCTGGCCTGCAGACATACAGACAGAATATTGTATACATAGTAAATATTTTTTAAAAAAAATAAAAATTAAAAAAAAAAAGTAAACCTGAGTCCCTGGGCACCCCTTCATTTCTCAGCTGTGCCTTGGTCTCTGACAGCCAGAAGAGTCAGTTCCTGGCCCAGAATGGGTCCCTCACCTGATCATCCTCGGACACTCAGGCCATGGGAGAGGGACTATTTCCCACCCCTTTCCCTTCCTGGCTCAGTATCAGCCAGCACCCTGGCTCTGGTTCCTTCCGCCCGCAGCCTTCTTTGTTCTGTGTGTTCAGTGTGGGAGAGTAAAGCCTCCCTCCTTTGTGCCTGCTTGAGTCGCCATCGCTGCCTGCATTGAACTCATACCCGCTTTTCTTCACCCTTTGATTGTGTTGGTGGGAAAGGTTGGCTTCCTCCTGGAACTCTCTACTTTCTCCAGCATAGCAGGTCTGCTGCAAGGGGCTCCACCAGCTGGGAAGATCATGTCCCCTGTGGTGCCACAGCCCTTCCCTTGGGCCACTTGAGGAGGGAAAGGCAGGCCAAGTAAGCAGCAGGTTCAGTTTATTGAAGGTGGCGCTGCATAGTGCTGCCCACCACAGAAGGAGTTTCACAAATGGCGCTGGTCTCCATCATTCGCTCCCTTCCTAGACAGATTCTGCCACCTGCTCCTAGGTGGCTTCTCCCTCCTAACTTCCCATAGACATAGACTTCCTCCTTGATCGTAGAATTGTCCCTTGAGAATCCCCCTGACCTCTGGCCCAGAGCCAGCCACCTCCCCCCAGAAGAGGCCCTGTTGGAGGGAGAGAATAGCAGTAGGGGTCAGTTACAGGCTTGATTTATTCACTCTGGTTGCCCTGGCCTCAACTGAGATTGGGGTTGGACACTGGGGGAGATTTTCTCTTGCTCGTCTTCTTGTTTTGTAAGGTCTTTGTCCCATTCTTTTTGGTTTGGGCAGTGCTCTTCTCTTTCTTCTTGGGCGATGATGATTCCACAATGTCTTCACTGGAGCGCCCCTGTTTATTCCGTTCATAGCTGTCCTCACTCTCCGGCTCTTCTCGGCTTTCTGGGCTAGACTCTGACGTCCTGACTAGTTCTGGAGGGGAAGACTCTGATTTCACTGGGCTTTTCTTCTTAGTTAACTTGCCCTTCTTGACATTTTTCTTCGGTTTTGCCTTTTCATCCACCATCTCCTCCTCCTTGTCTTTCTCTTTCTCCTTTTTCTTCATTTTCTTGATGACCTTGCCCTCCTGACTCTTGTCTGTGGTGCTCTCAGAACGCCAGATGGTGATAGGCGCTGCTGAATCGGAAGCACTGGTGACAGGCCTGATGTCTGGGTCAGTAGGTATGTCAGTGGGACACAAGTGAGTCGGGCTGGGAGACTGGGCCTCTTCCTCCTCCTCCTCATTTGGGTCATCTGCCATACATGTGTGATGGATGGAATGGGGATGGTGGATTACTGCCACAGAGAGGGGTCTGTAGCGTTTGCACCTGGTGGGGGAGAGAAGGGAAGAAATGAATGAAGCTGAATCAGGCACCCTGGAGTCCTGTGCCCACCAGCCAGCTGGTACTCACCAGCGGTACCAGATCCGCTCCACACACTCTTCCTCTGGGATGAGTTCAAAGCAAGGGGTATGGATGATGTTGTAGCAGGTTGAGCCCCCATCTCTGGAGCAGGTCGGGCCTACATCTCGGGAGCTGCTACTATTTGTCTTCTCTGAGCAGTACTTCAGCCTGCCACACACCAGACTCTCAGCTTGGCTCCCATACCTCCATGACTCCCCAGGGGCCCAGAGGGACAGCCAGCTGCTTCTGGGCCTGGCCCAGGCTGCCAAGAGAGCTCCCCATTCATTGTTCTTGGAGCCGAGCAGGGTTTAAGAGCTGGGGCTAGGCTGGCAGCACCAGGCCAAGGCTGGAGGGGAACCTGAAGGGGATGGGTCCCCCATGAAGGGGGCCCTCACCTAGATTCACAGTTGCAGTGTCTGACGGTGTGCATGTGCTGCTTGTGATGGCCACATTCCGAGTAGGGGTGGATGACACACTGCTGGTGTTTCCAGCAGCACCTGTCAGTGTCCTCGCAGTCACCTGAGGGAAGAGGGATTCTGGTCATTGGGAGGCAGCCAAACACACCCACACCGCATTCCCCCACCTTGTAATTCCCAACAACTGCTATCATCAGAGGTGGTGACTTAACTCCAGTCCTCTTATCCACTGTCCCTTATCCCTGTCCTCTTATCCACTGCTTTGATACTATCATGGAAACATTGCCACACATGGGATAGAGAGGATCCCTGCCACGCTTCCCTTGCTGTTCTGTATTGCCTTTGTCACTTCCTCTTCTGGGGAATCCACTGCCCCAGGCCCTCTACTGAATGCCCTCTCCAACTCCACAGTGTGGGTAGGGAATGGCCACAGCCTTGTCTGGCAGCCTCCTGCGTGGGTGGCAGTGGGTCCTCGACAGCATGCTCCTTACCTGTTCTGGTTCCTCTGCGCCCTGTCTCCTCCACCTCCTCACTTCTCTTCATTCTTTCCCTGCTCTTTACTAGTCCAAACCATTGTCTTGGACTGGAAGGTGCTCAGTGGGTGTCGATAAGAGGAGGAACTGAGCTCCTGCAGGTTGTCCTCTGCCCTCCACATGCTACCACAGCCACACAAACAAGGCTTTTTAAGAATTGCTTTAAGCTGTTGAGTGGGGGCTGGAGAGATAGCTCAGTGGTTAAGAGCATTGCCTGCTCTTCCAAAGGTCCTGAGTTCAATTCCCAGCAACCACATGGTGGCTCACAACCATCTGTAATAAGGTCTGGTGCCCTCTTCTGGCCTGCAGATATACATACAGACAGAATATTGTATACATGAATGAATGAATAAATAAATAAATATTAAAAAAAATTTAAGAGGCTGTTGGGGGGAGGCAGAGGCAGGTGGATCTCTGAGTTTGAGGACAACCTGGTCTACAGAGAAAATTCCAGGACAGTCAAGACTACTCAGAGATGGGCTGGAGAGATGGCTCAGTGGTTAAGAGCATTGCCTGCTCTTCCAAAGGTCATGAGTTCAATTCCCGGCAACCACATGGTGGCTCACAACCATCTGTAACGAGGTCTGCTATCCTCTTCTGGTCTGCAAACACACACAGATTAAATGTTGTATACATAATAAATAAATATTTAAAAAAAAAGACTACTCAGAGAAATCCAACCTGGGTGGGGAGGCTGCTTTAAATATCCCAGAACCACAGAATGCTGAACAACCTGCCCCAATTTATGCCAGTTTGTGAGGCTGGGGAAGTTTCCCACTTCTTACTGAGCTACATGGGTTTTTCATGGGACTCCCAGTGTTCCATCTCTGACCCTGCTTAGGGCTCCAGGCAGCTCCTGATTTCTCTCTGCACCCTCTGCACCCGTCTAAAAGGTAAACATGCCTCCTGCCCCACCGTCTCCCAGAGGAACAGCCCTGTAGGGGTAAGAAGTGATGAGTTCCGCATCCTGGCTGGAAGGCTGTGGTTAGCTCTCCACTCCCCCCACCCCAAGAGGCAAGGTGATTATGCCTTTATCCAGCTCCTGGGAGTGGCAGAGCTGGGCAGGACATCAGGCAGCAGGAGAGAGAAGACAGCCATGTAGTCTTAGGCTTTCTCTTGCTCTCCTCCTTACCTTTCCCCTGCAATACTGTGAGGCTCCCGAGAGATTCCAGAATACCTCTCACCCACTTTCTCATGCCTCTTCTCCCCGGGGGAAGTAAGGGATGTGTACAGCAGGACCTTGGACTATCATCCCTGCTTTTTTTTTTTTTTTTTTGGCACTTAAATTGAGGCAAAGGGCAGCATAGAGGCATATGCTCTGAGCCTGGAGTCAGTCATGCCTGAGGCTTGGGGCTCTTTCCCTTGACAATTTGCTTTTCTGTGCCTCTCCTACCCACAAAATGGGACAGGGCTAGCTATTATGCAGGGTTACAAGGACATGTTGATGTTTGTGACCACAAAGTATTTTACCAAAGACGGGTGATAAGGACTCAAGGCAGGGCCTTCTCCGGCATTGCAGAAGACAAGGAAAGGATGGGCAGCTGGGTTCTCTACCATATGGCTCTTGGGATCACACTCAGGTTATCGGCAAGCACCTTTACTCGTTGACCCTGGGGCACCTGAGGAATCCCACTGAGAGCCTGTCCCTCCTCCAAGATGTTAGCTCTCACAAATAGGGGTAATGTAGCCTCTGGGGGCCATAGGTCGCATGGACCCACCTTCCGAGGAGAAGGAAGACACATCACTGCTGGACTCCACACTAGCCAGATGTCTTCTCTTCCAGCTGGGCAACCTGCTTATATCTAAGAGTACAAAACGGCAGCAGTGACAACAGCCACCTCCCATGTCATTCAGTCACTAAACATTTTCTAAGATGCTGGGCCCAGACATATATCCTGGGGATGCAGGGATTTAAGAACCAAAGCACACTTCTCCAGAGACTGAAGGGGAGGGGCCAGGAAAGAGCAAAAAGGTTCATGGCAGCAGTGTGAAAATGGAAGAGGGCCAGATGACAATGGCACACGCAGAGGCAGGTGGATCTCAGAGTTCAAGGCCAGCCTGGTTTTCAGAGCTAGTTCTAGGACAGACCCCCAAAGCGACCTGTCTCAAAAAAGAAAAAAAAAAATTGGGGGAGAGAGTAGGGTAGACTGGAGGGGTGAGGACTATGAACTTAGGAACTTGAGTGGCACTGTAGTGATTAGTCAGGGAGGACAGGGCCAGCCTGGTCCAAGGCGTGGAGAGCCTGGGCAGACCACTTGTTTGTAGGGTTCCATAGGCTAGACCCCATGGCCTCAAGCATGCTCAGCAAGTGTTCTACAGCTGAACTATAGGAGTCAGAGAAGTGTGGAGCCAGCTGTTGAGGCTTACTGTCATCCCAGCACCTAGGAGGCAGAGTCAAAGGTTCAAGGTTATCCTCCTCTAAAGCTATCTTGGTCTACATACCAAGTTTTAAGCCAGATAGGGCTACACTGAGAGACCCTGTCTCAAAAAAAAAAAAAAATTAAGTGCTGAACACGTGAAAATTTCTACAGCACTGCTGTTCCCAGCTCCAGCCTGGGAAAGAGGTGCCCAGTGTCCTATTGCTCCAAGCCTCCCTCTTTACTCTTTTCTTCCATGACAGGCTACACTTTCTTTTCTTGATGTTTTATTTTTATGTGCATGGTTGTTGGGCCTGGGTGAGTGTCTGTGCGTGCATAACGTGTGTATAGTATCTGTGGAGGCCGGAAGGAGGCCTAAGAACTAGAGTTATAGCCTGAAGCTAGTGGGCCTTTAATGTGAGCAGAACACTTGTGACATCTGTGAGTTCAAGGCCGGCCTGGTCCACAGAGCTAGACAGCTAGTTCCAGGAGAGCCGGGGCTGTTACACAGAGAAACCCTCTATTGTTATAGAGAGTTGTGAGCAGTCATGTGGTCACTCTGACAGACCAGTTAGTGTTCTCACTCACTAGGCCATCTCTCCAGACCTGCTCTGAACATTTTCAAATGGAACACTCCAGCCCTTTTTCTAACATGCATTTCCCCCCTTTCCTTTTCAAGACATTCATTCAGTAACATTCAGCTAGCAACTCCTCGAGGCAGTAATTAAGGGGGTTATAGCCCCACCTCCAGTGAACTCAGATTCTCGTTCCTTCTCAGCGACCTGCCCCTTTATCAGCATAGCCTTGACCAAGGCTGCTAGCAAAGTCTCAGCTCCAGCCCGAGCCTTTTCCTCTGAACTGTTAGCCAGTTACTCCCTCGCACACTCTTCCTTGGACTTCCATGAAAGCCCTCATCTTTGTTTCAAGACGGGGTTTCTCTGTGTAGCCCTGGCTGTCCTGAAACTCACTCTGTAGACCAGGCTAGTCTCAAACTCGCAGAGATCTTCCTGCCTCTGCCTCCCTAGGGCTGGGATTAAAGGCGTGTGCCACCACCACCTGGCTTATTTTATTATATTGTGTGTATATTGTGAGCAAGTGCTGTGTGATTTTGTTACTTTGGCTTGTGGCCTTGCTTGAAGTCGGACACGGTGAGCCCTCCGGCATTGTCCTCAGCGTTGCTTTTAGCTGCTAGCGGTTTTGTTCTTCTATGTGGCTTTAATTTTATTTTCCATTTCTGTGAAGAATGGCATTGAAATTTTAATTTGGATTACACTGAATCTGTAGACCGCTTTTGATAAAATTTGCCATTTTCATAGTATTCATTCTTTTTTTTTTTTTTTTTGGTTTTTCGAGACAGGGTTTCTCTGTGGACCAGGCTGGTCTCGAACTCACAGAGATCCGCCTGCCTCTGCCTCCCAAGTGCTGGGATTAAAGGCGTGTGCCACCATCGCCTGGCTCGGCTCATAGTATTCATTCTTCCATAAAAAATAGGAGGTCTTTCATCCTTTCGTGTCTTTATTTTCTTTTTCTTTTTCTTTCTTTCTTTTTTTTTTTTTTTTTGGTTTTTCGAGACAGGGTTTCTCTGTAGCTTTGGAGCCTGTCCTGGAACTCCCTTGGTAGACCAGCCTGGCCTCGAACTCACAGATATCCACCTGTCTCTGCCTCCCAAGTGCTGGGATTACAGGCGTGCGCCACCACAGCCCGGCTTGTCTTTATTTTCTTTATTCAGTGTTTTAAAGTTTCAGCTGCTGAGATCTTTACATCCTGGATCAGGCTTGTTCCAAGGATTTCTTGTTGCTATTTCAGGTCATTGTGAGTGAGGTTATTTCCTTATTTTCCTCACATTTACTTGTGAGTCTGTGTGTGTGGGCATGCCACAGTACGCATGTGGAAGGCAGAAGACAACCTGTAGGCGTCTGCTCTCTCCTTCTACCCTGTTGGTTCTGGGGATCAAACTCCAGTCATCAGGATTGGTGGCAAGAGCCTGTTCCTGCTGAGTATCTCACTACTGGCTACTAACCTTTGTAATCTAATTTTATAAGCAGCCACTTTGTTGAAAGTATCAGCTCTACTATGCTCTTCTGGTGGGATCCTTATTGTCTCTTATGTATAGGGTTATCTCCAAATAATGATACATATTTATGTCCCTTTAATCTCCTCCGTTTGTCTTATTGCTCTAGCTAAAACTTCAAGCATTATTAAGAGTGGACTTGCCGGACAATGGTGGCACATGCCTTTAATCCCAGCACTCGGGAGGCAGAGACAGGTGGATCTCTGTATATTTGAGGCCAGCCTGACATACAGAGTTAGTTCCAGGACAGAGCTCCAAAGCTCTAGAGCTACAGAGAAATCCTGTCTCAAAAAAAAAAAAGAGTGAACTGCAGAGGCATTGCACAGACATACATGCAGGCAAAATACTCCTACACATAAAAAAGAAAAATTAAAAAGAAAATTAGTCGGGTGGTGGTGGCACACACCTTTAATCCCAGCACTTGGGATACAGAGGCAGGTTAATCTCTGTGAGTTCGAGGCCAGCCTGGTCTACAGAGTGAATTCCAGGACAACCAAGAATACACAGAGAAACCCTGTCTCAAAATACAACAACAAAAAGAAATTGTGACCCCCCCAGCCCGCCAATCATCTTCCTGCCCCCTGTGTGTTTCCCGTAGTTAACCCTTTGCAGAAAGCAGCAGACATTTCTGCTAGAAATCAAGGGATAACACTTGCCTTCCATGCCATATCTATCTACCCCTGCACCTTCCTGTGCCTTCACTTAGACCCCTATCATCTTTCTGCTTGTTTGTTGTTTTTGAGGCAGAGTCTCGCTGTGCAGGCCTGGCTGGCCTGACTTGCTTACTTCTGCCTCCTATGTGCTGGGATTAAAGGCTTGAGCCACAAAACCAAGCTTAAACTCCACCATCTCTGACCTAAGATGCAGCCATAGCTTCCCTCCTGATTTCCCCAACTGTGGTCCTCACTGCCTTCCTTCAGTCCTCGCCATACAGCCAAGCTGAGTTTTATAGAGTACCAACTGGCTTCTTCTCTTCTTCCTGCCATGTGCTGGAATCATAGGGATGTGCCACCAGGCCTGGCTTCCGTCCTTCCTTCACGATTAAGTGTGGACTTTATCATGCCAGTAGGACCCAGTTCTCTCCTCACGGACAGTTTCTCCCATCCCTCACTTTACCATTCTTTCTCCCCTGCCACTCTCCCACATGCTACCTGCTCAGCTCAGTGGGAAAATGTTGTTGCTCATAATTGCCCACATTTGTAATCCAAGAACTTGGTAGGCTGAAGCAGGAGGGCTAACCTGGGCTACACAGCAACACCTTGTCTCAAACACCAATACTGTCCAAGTGGAATTAATTGTGTGTGTGTTTTATGTGCCCTCTGACCTGCTACCATAGTTCTAAGAAAGACATTCCTGTATTTACTCCTTAAGAATAATAACCGTATTTCATCTGCCTCTGTATCCAGAAATAGCTCAGTCTTTGTTGGTTGACTGAGTGTATGTATTCAGTCTCCTACTGGAATACATAAATTCACTATTTGAGCCACAAAGAGGCACTAGAGAGTCTGTCCCTAGCTCAACTGGGGTACTGTGTTTTATCTTTTTATACATTTATCTTTGGGATCATTTCACATAGCAGTAGGAGGAAGAGGAGTGACATTCAGAAAGGCAGCGTAGACAACAGGCTGGCCCAGAGTTCCCCACATTGCCTGGGCTGCCCTTGAATTTATGGTAGTTCTCCTGTCCCAAGAACTGGAGTTACTAGCAGGAGTCTCCCTGCTCACTTTATTTATTTACTTACTTTGACTGGGGCTGTGTTGTGGAAAAAGTAGGGGAAGTCTCTGGGGATCATATCCAGGGTTTCACACAAGCTAAGCAAGCATCCTTACCTACAACTCCAGCCCTCAGCTCTTCTGGGAGTTTTTCTGGGGGAGATGGTTTCCCAGGATGTACACTTTCACAGTGCTAGACTTAGGGGGCTGGAAAGATGGCTCAGAGGTTGAGAGCACTGGCCACTCTTCCAGAGGTTCAATTCCCAGCAACCACATGGTGGCTCACAACCATCTGTAGTGATATCTGGCGCCCTCTTCTGGCTAGCAAGGATACATGCAGCCAGAGCAGTGTATACATAATAAATAAATCTTTGAAGTGTGACTAAAAATTGCATAGAAAGGGACCCAGACCAAGAGAGGCGAAGTGACCAGCCTAATAGACAGCAGATGCACAAGTAAAGCCCAGGTCTTCTGGGTTTCTTAGCCTGTGTGCTTTTAGCCCTGTGTGCTCTGTTAGCTAAGGAAACACACAAGTTCCAGAACTGAGTCTTAAATCATCATCCCCTAAAACACTTGTGCTTAATCCCTAGCATGGCTAATTCCTCACTTCTGGTTTTTTGTTAATCATGATCCACAGCCTCCCCTATTTATTTTGAATCCTAAAGTCATTCCAGTAAGGGCCTGCGTCTAGGTCAGGATCAAACTGTTGGTTTTCCTTCCTCCTGTCACTGCGAACAGGATTTGTGTGGGATTGAAGCTTGTTCATGTCCCACTAATACCCTTAATAGATGCTGACAGCATCAGCTGTTTGGGAGGGAAAGAGGATTTAGGAAGGCAGCCTGCCCCTTTGTCTACAGAGGAGAGAGGAGAGCAGTGACCAAGGCAGTACTTCAGATCTCCTGCAACAGAATGAGGACGGGTAATGGTTTGAAAGGAAGAGAAAAGCTGTGGTCTCTTCCTTGGAACAGGTAGCAAGGGTCTAACTCAAACTCACTCATTTGTATGCTCATTTGTAGAGGTCCTCTTTGTCCTGCGAAGCCCCTCCCCTCCTTTGAGGACCAGAGAATGGGCACCACAGCAGCCAAAAGGAGACAGTAGGAAGGATGAAACAAGAAACCAAAGAGGAGGCTGCAAGAGAGGGGCAGTGAGTCTTCTGGGAAATGTCTCCTAGGCTCAGGGACCCATCTTGGAGGTGATTATGATGTCACTTGTGGACCCCGGACTCTTTCCTGCCCTCAAGGTCAATGGAACCGATCGCCCAGCCCCGGCTGGATGGGTGGGTTCTTGCCAGAGCCTCCCGCCTCTGGGGCAGCAGGCTAGGTCAGCGGCGGGCAACCTGATGCTCAACAGTTAAGCTTTGACTCGGGAGCGTTTGCTTCAGGTCAAGGCAAGCGATCTTCCAGAGCCCCGCCCAGCCCCGCCCCCAGCCTTCCGCCCCGCCCCTTTACCGGTGCTCTCTCTCTCGTCCCAAACGTCAGTTTTGCAGCCACTCTTTTCCTCAGTCCATCTTTTAATCGTTAGTGTCGTCCTGACCCACATCGCTGTCAGCCTAGTTCTTCCACAGGACTCTACCTCGCAGAGTTCAACGTTGAATCTCAGCTTAGTGGAGCCCTCGGCCCAGCAGTAAGCTCCAGTCCAGCCCCTAGCTCCGCCTCATGCTTGCCCAGCTCCCAGCCCACCTCCCCCCTCCCTGTCTTCCAGCCCGGGTCTAAGCGTCAGGCGTGTTCTACATCCGGGATCTCAAGCTCCTTCCACGACCCTTCGTCACGCCCTTAACGCCAATACCAGCTTTTGCCTTACAAACCGAGCACTCAATCGCATACCTAGTTCCTTGCTGGTCCCTGCTTCTAAAAAAAAACCCTACCGAAACCCCGCCCCCAGCAGGTACGCCCCGCCCATTCCAATCTCAAGAGCCTTTGCACTTGTGGACCTGTCCCGCCTTCGGAGGCCGGGACGTCCACGAGGTCCGCCCCTGACAGTTCAGAGAGCAGTCTTCTTGAACGTGGCGTTGCGGACGTCCAGGATTTGGGTCTGCTTGAAGACATGCTGGTTCTCTTCTAGTATGTACGATACCTCCCCACACTCCCAGACCACTAGACCCATCCACCCCCGTTCCACCCTTCAGGTTTCTCCCAGTCCCAAAGGTCACTTGGTCCTAGGTTCCATACAGCTCATTTTCCTGTTCAGACAGTAAGGTGGCCTACAGTCATGGTAACTTCGTCCCAGTATACACCCTTTACACCCTCAAACACAGCATGCACACTTATCCATCACCCACAGCGATGCCAAAAGTCTACACACAATACACAGAACTATTTTAACAAGGTGCACCCACACATGCAGGTCGTGGGACTACACACTCAGACCCCTGGGAGCACTTCAGTACTGAGGTGGCTTCTCGCATGCGCGCTGAATTAACCGGCTCTGTACAAAGAGGACCCCAGAGCTGTGGAAACAGAGACGGAAAATAGACACAAGACAGAATGAAATGAATGAGAGCTACTTTGCAGACATTCCACACAGCACATATCACTTTCCCTCCAAGCAGCTCCCCAAACCAGAATATGTGTGCCTCAAAAAGCAGAGAACAGCTGGGCAGTGGTGTGCTAGCCTTTATCTGTTCGTTTGTTTATTTGTTTGTTTGTTTTTATGTGCATTGGTGTTTTGCAAGCATGCTAGTCTTTGTGAGGGTGTTGGATCCTGGAGTTACAGACAGTTTGCAAGCTGCCATTTGGGTGCTGGGAATTGAACCCGGGTCCTCTAAAAGAGTAGTCATTGCTCTTTACCACAGAGCCATCTCTCTAGTCCTGGTGCTCACCTTTAATCCAAACACTTGCAGGCAGATCTGCGTTTGAGGACAGCCTGGTTTTCATAGTGAGTTCTAGGACAGCCAGGGTTATATAGAAAGACCTAAACTATAATACAATAATAATAATAATAATATAATAGCTGGGTGGTGGTGGCACACACCTTTAATCCCAGCACTTGGGATGCAGAGGCAGGTGAATCTCTGTGAGTTCGAGGCCAGCCTGGGCTACAAGAGGACAGGCTCCAAAGCTACAGAGAAACCCTGTCTCAAAAAAAATAATAATAATAATACAAGAAAAAAGAAAAAGAAAAGCAGGGACAAGGCCAGGTAAGATGGCATGTGCCGTTGTACCTCTAATCGGGAGACAGACGCAGGTAGATATCTGAGGTCCAGGTCACGTGGGGTTAACCACGAAACCCTGTCTCAAAAATAAATAAATGTAAACCCCTAGAGCTAGGGGTGGATTACCTCCACAGGAGTTGTTGGCCAGGGAGACCCAAACAGCCTCTAAGACAATAGGACTATGCCCATTGCTGCCAGTGACATTCCAAAACTGAACAGAAAGACCCTGTTGTTTCTGATGTCCTATGCATTGGTTACAGAACTTGGAGAAATAAGTCTAGGACTGAGCCAAAAAACGTCCCCTACCGGTGGTCTAGCTCTTGTAGTACCGTAAAGTGCCACAGAGGTTGCTGGGCGAATCACGGCCTAAAGTCCTACTCAGCTGTGAATTCTGCATGCTTCATGGGGAAAGCAAGCGCGCTGTGTCAGCTAGTGCAGCAGTGGATAGCAGGTATGGATAAAACATTTTTCTGGGGCTGGAGAGATGGCTCAGAGGTTAAGAGCACTGACTGCTCTTCCAGAGGTCCTGAGTTCAATTCCCAGCAACCACATGGTGGCTCACAGCCATCTGTAATGAGATCTGGTGCCCTCTTCTGGCCAGCAACCATACAGACAGACAGAACACTGTCTTCATAATAAATAAATAAATCTTTAAAAAAAAAAAAAAAACCATTTTTCTGGGGCTGGAGAGATGGCTCAGAGGTTGGGAGCACTGGCTGTTCTTCCAGAGGTCCTGAGTTCAATTCCCAGCCAACCACATGGTGGCTTACGGCCATCTGTGCTGAGATCTGGCGCCCTCCTCTGGCGTGCGGGTATACATGGAGGCAGAATGTTGTATACATAATAAATAAATGAATCTTTAAAAAAAAAAATTTTCTGATTGGATTTATGCCAAGCCTGCTCCAAAATGTAAACTTCACATCTAATATGGGCCTTAGATAAAACCCATGGCCAGAGAAGTCATAGCCCCCGTGGAAAATCAACAGCTGTTTTTTGTTTTGTTTGGTTTTTCGAGACAGGGTTTCTCTGTAGCTTTTGCGCCTGTCCTGGAACTAGCTCTTGTAGACCAGGCTGGCCTCGAACTCACAGAGATCGCTTGCCTCTGCCTCCCGAGTGCTGGGATTAAAGGCGTGCGCCACCACCGCCCAGCCAACAGCTATTGCTTTGGTGAGAATGGTGTCCCAGCTAAGCTGCTTCCCAACATTTATGACTGTCATTTTCTGCATTTTCCTCGCTTGTGTTTTACAGCAGAAGAAATATTGCCAAGACTTGTTACCAGCTGTACTCTGAAAGATGGGAATAAATAAAAGACATCAGCATCCCACTGGAGTTAATTGACCATAGTCAGATTTCCATATCACTTCCTCCAAGGCTCAGGGACCATTATGAAAGGGGGGCAGAAAGGGTTTAAGAGCCCAAGGAAAGGGAGAAGTGTTATGTAGCAATTTTATTTGACATAAAATCCTCCATTTTAGCTGGGTGGTGACGGTGCACATCTTTAATCCTAGCCCTTGGGAGGCAGACAGATCTCTGTGAGTCGAGGCCAGCCTGGTCTACAGAGCAAGTTTTAGGACAGCCACACACAGAGCTACACACAGAGAAACCCTGTCTCGAAAAATCAAAAAAGTAAAACAAACAAAAACCCTTCCGTCTTAGAGGGAAACCCCTTAAAAGACATAGGATGTTCTGCAGGAAGGTTCCTTAAGTTCAGGAAGTAAAGAACTCAAAGGCTTCAGGAAGTCCCTGAAATTGAGCAGCTAAACTAGGCTCCTCCTTCCCCAAGCATATTTAAGCAGTCAGGACTGCTTGAGAGACACTCTTAGACAAGCTGAACTGGCTGGAAGAAAGCCCCTCCAACCTGTTCAGCTGCCTGAAGACTGCAGCAAGCTCCAGGCTTCATAAGCTGGCATCATACTGGGGTAGCTGTGGGGGATGCAGCTTGGCTTGAGCCATTTCTGCTCCTGGAAGAAGACGCTCACCCATGCTCCTGTAAGTCACCTGAATAAAATTCACTGGTTCACCAAACTGGACTTAGAGGATGCATATCCTTGGTCTGTCATCAATTTCCTATCTGGGACAAATGGACCTAGGGGCACTGTCACACAGTTCACAGATACAGAGTAATGTCTAGATCAGGCTGGCCTACAAGAGACCCTGCCTCAAAGAGAGAGAGAGACAGAAAGGAAGGAAGGAAGAAAAAGGGTAGTTATTCAGATTTCTCCCGATGAGGACTGAGAGGATACAGTCTGTCCTCCAAAGCCTGGTCTCTGAGGGTTTAGCCAGTGTGAGCCCTGTGTTGGGAGCAAGAATAGACAGAATCCCCACAGGGGCTCCAGTTCCCGAATCACTACAGCTATTAGCCCCTGGAAAGAAACCCAGCCCAGAAAACATTCTAACAGATTTTAATGCATAAGGCACAGTAAATTGTTGAGCATCTTCATCCATAAAGGGCTCAGGAGGCTGAGCAAAAGCAGCAACGCTGACCCCCATCAGGCACCCTGGAGAGCCCCAGAGGAATAAGGGGTCATCCAGTCTTTGGCATGGTACCTGGGGGCAGGAAGTGACTAGCATGGTCCCAGTTACCCTCTGGGGGCACTGCCTTCAAGGGGCGACTCTTTGGTCTGGAAAAAGTCAGTGCAAATGTCCAGGGGTTGACTTCAGAAGCAGTTGGGGTGGCACAGTCCCCCAGGAATGGGCAGTTTCTGGACAGTCCTCTCTTCAAGGACAACACGTGGCCTTTTTCTTGCTGGCAGTTAGGTAGAGGTTTTTGTCGTCACTGTTGATGCCTGGAAAAGGTGGGAAATACAGGCACTGGAGGTTCATTCCCTCCCCCTGCTCTTGGCCTGCCACTTTCAACTGGGGAACACTTACGAACAACATCCCCAATGCGCCGAGCCCCTGATTTCTCCAGCTCAGCCACAACATTGGCCTCAAAGGTCAATGCTGCCACGCGGAAGAAGAATTCCCGGACATTCTCACCTGACATGGGGAGCAGAAACGGGTGCTTAGGGGAAACTAGATGGACCCAGCTGTAGATGTAGGAGTGAGAGGTGGGCAGGCAGGCACACACAGCAGGAGGCTGGGGATCCCAACTCACCAGTGAGGGAGGACACTGCCCAGTACTCAGCCTTCATCTCTTGGGCCACCTTGAGGGCATCCTTCTCCATTAGGGAATATTGAGCAGGCGTCTGGGAGAATAAAATCAGCATCAGATGGGGGGTGGGAGTGGGTCCCCTCACCAAGCTGGGGCGTTCTCCCACTGGCACGCTCACACTCAGGTCCTTCTTGGAACCCACAAGGAAGAGAAGCACGTTGGAAGGGTCATTCTCCTTGAGCGCGTCAGCGAGCCACTGCCTGCCACAGATGGTGGACGGCTGTAAGGAATGAGTGAGCCTGACAGGCCCCTTCCACCATCTTTCCCTTGTCCAGTTACCAACTCTCTTTTTTCTTTTTCCTTTGCCCCCCCCCCCAT